CGGTGCTGGCGCGGGCGGGACTGAGGGGCCGGCCCCCAGGGGAGGGGAGCGAAGCGGGGGGACTTCTAAGACCACTTCTAGGGTAATCTGGATTTACCCTGAGGGTTCAGGGCGTCTCAGCCTCTCTGGGGGGGGGCTTTTCTCCGGGTAATGGGACATCTAAGATTTGTCCTGGGGTTGGGGGCTTCTCAACCTTTTGGGGGGTTTCTTTCTTGTTTTGGGGGATCTGTATCAGCTTTGGATGATGGAGGTGAATCACTTTTGTGGGGCTTGGATGATGAGGGGTCTTGGATTTTCTTTGGGTATAGGGGGCTCTGACTTTGTGGGGCTTTTCCTGGGTTGTTGGATAGTCTGGTTTTGCCTTCCATGAAGAATGAATCACTTTTGAGGGGGCTTTACTTTGAGGATGGGGTACCATCTCTTTAAGGGCTCTGCTTTCACTGCGGGCTGTGGTTGCCGTTGGACTCTTCCCTACGCATCGGGAACCTGTGAATTGAGTTGGGGGGTTCACCACTGGACTTGGTTCTAGTGTGTGTATGGAGTGTAATGCTGTTCTGGACCCCTGGGGAACACAAGCTCAGGGAAAATGGGCTGGGGTTTGACCCGCTGGGGTTCTGGGATTTGTCCTTGGCTATGACTGCGTTTGCCTCCCGGCCCCGCTGAGCTGGAGTCCGTTTTGTTTTTTTTTTTCCTTTTTGCAGGAGGGAGGAGGGAGGATCTTGTGACTGGAGTGGGGAGGAGAAAGGGGAGGAGCAAACTGTTTCAGGTGCTAGGTTTGGTCATGAGTGGGGAAGTTATGGCTTGGGGGATAAGTCTGGTTTTTTACTGGAGAGAGCTGGGGGAAGGCTCAGGAAGCAGCCTGTGATTGATCCTGCCCAGTGCCGTGAGAGGGGCCCACTCTTGGTGCTTGCGTTTTGCGTGACTGGTTTTGTTGGTGGGTGGGAGGACTAGAACTGGCTTTAGTTGTAGAATGGGGTGCTGGCTGGCCTGGGAGATTCGATCTGATCCACGATAGCGAGTCTGTGGCTAGATTTTGGGGCAGATTGGTTTGGAGAGCCAGAACACAGCTTTGTTTTTCACATTTGGCTGGGCTTGGCTTTGGTTGAGGGCTAGAACTGGTCATGGTTTGGGAATCTGTGGTCTTAGAGTCCCAGGGAAACAATTGGGGAGCCCTGTGGACTCATTAGGGGTGCTAGATCTCAATTGTGGAGGATGGACCTACTCCAGATTGGAGGGCTAGTTTGGAGACAGCTAGAGTTGGCTTTAATTGGGAGGTTGTTTAGGGGATTGATCTGGCCATACTGGAGGAACTGGGGCTAGATATGGGGGCTTCATTTGATACCCTTGGGAATGGGTTGAAGCTCTTCAATTGGTCCTTATTGGGGGGGTGACTAAGATTGAATGAAGGGTCTAAGTGTTGCTATGTGAGGGGTGGTCCTGAGGATGAATTGGGAGTTAGCTAAATTGGGTTAGAGGGCTTGTTTTGGGGGGATGATTTGTCTCCAAGTCTAAGGGGCTGACTGGTCCTGCCTTGGGGGATTCCCTCAAGACAGAGGACAGGGGGGCAAAGGACTGGGCATTCTGGGGACCCTTCCATCCATCCTCTACCCAGGAAAGGGCTTGAGCTGCACCCATCCCCAACATAAAGGCCTCACTTGCAAAGGTTTTTTCATCTTCTCCTCTTCGTTCCACCTATACACCCTAGCAGCCCAGGTCCTGAACCTGGGACTTCCTGAAGGAAATGGGGGGCTGTGGCAGGTTGAGGGGACCAGCTGAGCCTTCCTACCCTGTTCTGCACAGCTGGATGGCTGGATCCATGAGAAGATGCTGATGGCGCGGGATGGCACGCGGGAGGACAACCACAAGCTGCATAAGAGATGGCTCCGGCACCAGGCATTCATGGCCGAGCTGGCTCAGAATAAGGAGTGGCTGGAGAAGATTGAGAGGGTGAGGAAGCTGATGGCCCCTCTGCCTGTGCCAGGTGCAGGAGGCCTCCAGGGAGCCCACATCTCACCTGCTGCACCCTCTGCTGCCATCCTGCTGGTCTCACACCTCTGGACTGACTCAAGTCAACTCCAGATCTGCTCCTAGCTATGTGGCTTTGAGTGATTCATGTAACCTCTTTGAGCCTCAATTTGCTCATCTGTAAAATGGCCAGCATCTCTTCTGAATGGTGCCTGTATCCTCCTGTTTGTTAAATACTTCACTTTTTCATATAACCTCCTCTACCAGGTTCCTTCCATACCATTTGGGGCATTTAAGATGGAAGGTTGGGGAGATGGTCTGGGACAGCCCCTGGGAAGCCTAGGGTTAAAGTAAAATTTGGATTCTTACAGCCCTGGGTTCTAATTGTGTCTATGCCTGTTAACAGCTGTGGGGCCTTAGGTAATTGTGTTAACCTCTTGGAGCCTCAGTTTGCTCTTCTATAAAATTAGAGAAATAATAAATATAGCTACTTCCTGGGCTCTGTGCACATAAAGTGCTTAACACAAGACCACCCACCTAAGAGCTGTAACTACTATGGTCTTGTTACTTTTAATACTTAATGTTACCTAAGTAGCTCTGGGCCACTAAGAACCTCGACTTCAGGCTTGGAGGGACTGAGGCAGATATTTGCTCCAAGCCTCAACCCTCAGAACTTCCCCCTACTCTGGCTGAACCCCTAGACCTGCAGCCTTGGATATACACACTCTTCTGACTCACACAGAGGCACCCAGGTTGGCATTAAACCCTTAACTGGTCATTGATGTTTCATAAGTGGTGGCTTATGGTGAAGGCAGTCTTCTTGACTTTGAGTTTAATGGAAGTTCATTCTCTCCCTGCCTCTCTGGCTCCCTCTGTCTTTCTTTCCTCTCTGTCTATCCTTCTGTCCTTGTCTTTCTTACGGTCCTCTCCCCATGTTTCTGATTTTCTGTGCCTGTCTCTCTGTTGATCACTCTGTGACTGTTTGTCTGTTCCTGATTCCTTCCCATGTCTCTGTGTCCATCTGTCTGTTTCTCCATCTTTCTGTCTCCCTCCCCTCACCTATGTCTGTCTCTCTCTTCTTGTCTCACTTCCTTGGTTCCTTCCATTTCTGGGCCTATCCCTGCATCCACCCCTCATGTCTCTCTCTCCCTATGTGTCTCCAACTTCCTGCCTCTGATTCTCTTTTCACATCTTTCCCTGTGTCCTGTCACTCTCCCACACTTCTCTGATTCTCCCCACCATCTATCTTTCTTCTCCATCTCCTGCCATCCACCCACTTGGGGCAGGAGGGCCAGCAACTAATGCAGGAGAAGCCTGAATTGGCGGCCTCCGTGCGGAAGAAGCTGGGCGAGATCCGCCAGTGCTGGGCGGAGCTGGAGAGCACCACCCAGGCCAAGGCACGGCAGCTCTTTGAGGCCAGCAAAGCAGACCAGCTGGTGCAGAGCTTTGCTGAGCTGGACAAGAAGCTCCTTCACATGGAGAGCCAGCTGCAAGACGTGGACCCTGGAGGGGACCTGGCCACCGTCAACAGTCAGCTCAAGAAGCTGCAGGTATGGCCTTCCTGGCCCAGATGAGGGCTCCCTATGCCACATGGGGGCCAGGTCAGGATCCAGCTCCACTCAAGGTATTTCAAATGGAGGGGATTGAATACAGGGATTTATTTCAAACTTGTAGAAGAGCAGAAAGGGAATATTGAAGCAATCCAGCTGGTAATAACTGTTGGAAGCAGCCACTACCCCCTAAGGTATGGTGTACAAAGGGAAAAGGAAGGATCTAGAGCCACAAAGCAGTAGGTAAATGACTAGCATGCTAAAGGATTCACAGGATCCTGAGGGAATGGCTTTGCATGGAATAACAATGACATTCATTTAGCATTCCTCTACCAGTCTCTGGGCCAAGCACTCACTGACTCCTCCCAGCAACTTCTGGAGATTGGTACTGTTATTATCCCGTTTTACCAATGGGGAAACTGAGGCACAGAAAGTAAGGCACCTGGCCCAAGGTGTCTCCTTTATGAAACAGGGCACTCTTAGAGAACAGACACAGCATCTGCTTTGTATCTGCTCCCAGCTTGGCAGCTCCATGCTTGGTACACAGCAGTTCACGTGGAATGATCAGAGGTGAACGTAGTAGCCATTGCTTCTCACCTCCCAAGGAGTAATGGCTCTTGCCTTTGGTTTTCTTTTTTTGCTGCTGCTGTTGATGATGTTGTTTGTTTTTTTTCTTTGAGATAGCGACTCACTCTGTCACCCAAGCGGGAGTGTAGTGGCTTGATCTCAGTTCATTGCAGCCTCAAACTCTTGGGCTCAAGTGATTCTCCCACCTCAGCCTTCCAAGTAGCTGAGATCACAAGTGCATACCACCATACCTGGATAATCTTTTTAAACTTTTTATAGAGACAGGGTCTCACCATATTGCTTAGGCTAGTCTCAAACTCTTGGGCTCAAGCAACTCTTCCGCCTCAGCCTTCCAAAGTACTGGGATTACAGGTGTGAGCCATGGTATCTGGCCCACATCGCTCCTGCTTTTACCTGTCAGGAACAATGCCTGACTGACTGATGGGAAACTGAGGTTCCAGGAGGTGAGAGGTGAACTTATTTGTCCAGAGTAGCAAATAGCAAAGCCTGGATTTCAGTCCAGGGCCCTTGACTCTTCACTCCTCCTTTTTGATATACTTTCTATATAGTTATATACTGCTTGGCATAGTGTATGGCAAAAAAAAAAAAAAAAGCTAATTAGAAATGCATAATGACACTGATTAGTATTTATTCATTCATCTGGGTGGCAAATAATTATTAGGTACCTACTATGTGCCAGGCACTTTTCTGGGTGTTGGGATATAGCAGTGGGCAAAATGGATGAAAAGTTATTGTCTTCATGGTGATCCCATTCTAGTTGGGGGAACAGGCAAAAGAACAAAAAGACAAACAGATCTGAATGTGATGGCCAGTGAGGTCAGTTCATTCTCTCCCCCTCCTCCTCCCCTTTCCCCCCTTTCCTTTCCTTTCCTTTCCTTTCCCTCCCTCCCTCCCTCCCTCCCTCCCTCCCTCCCTCCCTCCCTCCCTTCCTTCCTTCCTTCCTTCCTTCCTTCCTTCCTTCCTTCCTTCCTTCCTCTCTCTCTCTCTCTCTGTCTCTCTCTCTCTCTCTCTTCTTTTCTTGGAGTCTTGCTCTGTCACCCAGGCTGGAGTGCAGTGGTGCAATCTCGGCTCACTGCAACCTCTACCTCCCAGGTTCAAGCAATTCTCCTGACTCAGCCTCCTGAGTATCTGGGATTACAGGCATGTGCCACCATGCCCAGCTAATTTTTGTATTTTTAGTAGAGACGGGATTTCACCATGTTGGCCAGGCTGGTCTCGAACACCTGACTGCAGGTGATTCACACGCCTTGGCCTCCCAAAGTGCTGGGATTACAGGCGTGAGTCACCGTGCCTGGCCAATGAGGTCATTACTTTATATAGAGTAGCAGTTCTCAAATGTCTGGGTCTCCAGGACCCCCTTGCACTCTTAAACCGCACTGAGATCCTAAGAAAGCTTTGTATGTGTGGATTAGACTATTGACATTCACTGTATTAAAAATGAAAATTGAGGCCAGGCATAGTGGCGCATGCCTGTATCCCAGGACTTTGGGAGGCCGAGGCAGAAGGATTGCTTGAACCTAGGAGTTTGAGACTATCCTGGGCAGCAGAGCAAGAGCCTGTCTCTGTTTTATTTTATTTAGTTATTTGAGCCAGGATCTTGCTCTGTCAGCAAGCTGGAGTGCAGTGGTGTGATCACGGCTCACTGCAGCCTCAACCTCTGAGGCTCAAGTGATGTTCCTCCCTCAGTCCTGCAAGTAGCTTGGACTACGGACCCACACCACCATGTCTGACTGATTTTTTTTTAAGAGACAGAATCTCACTATGTTGCCCAGTCTTTATCTCTATTTATTAAACTAAAAAAAAAAAAAATTAAAACAGAGTCTGGCTCTGTTGCCCAGGCTGGAGTGCAGTGGTATAATCTCGGCTTACTGCAACCACCACCTCCTGGGTTCAAGCAATTCTCCTGCCTCAGTCTCTGGAGTAGCTGGGATTACAGGCCTGTGCCACCACACCTGCCTAATTTTTGTATTTTTAGTAGAGATAGGGTTTCACCATGTTGCCCAGGCTGGTCTCGAACTCCTGACCTCAGGTGATCTGCCTGCCTTGGCCTCCCAAAGTGCTGGGTTTACAGGCGTGAGCCATGGCACCCAGCCTGTAGTTCTCTTTCATGTCTAGAATAGAAGAGAGCTGGCTTCTCCCATTCGTGTCTGTATTCAATCCATTTCAGTAGCACAGGTCATTAGGTCTCTGAAAAATGCTGCTGCATGCTGGGGAGAGAATGAGAATGGTGAAGGCAAATAACATCTTAGTATTTTTATAAAAATAGTTGTAACCTTGGAGATGCCTTGAAAAGATCTCAGGGATCCCCAGGGGTTCCTTGGCCACAGTTTGAGAACTGCTGATGTACATAATGTGCTGGGCACTGTTAACTCCTCTCTCCTCCCCAACAGCCCCATGAGGGAGGTCCTGTTATTATCCCCACCCAGGAGAAAACCACAGCACAGAAAGGATCCGTGGCTCACAGAGGTCACATGGCTACCAAGTGGCTATTCAATACCACCTTTAGTCCCTCCCTGAGCCTCTATCCGCCCTCTTAAATAGGACTCTATCATCAGTGCAGGTCTCCCAGGGCCAGGTGGGGTTGTGCACAGAAAGGAGCCATTTAGCACAGTGCCCAGGATGTGGTCAGCCTGCAAGAAAGGGGCATCTGACTGTTAGGGTCCCAGCCAGAAACACAAGGCAGGCTCACCTGCAGAAAACTTGAGTTTCTTGACAAAGGTGTGAGTGGAGAATGGGGAAGCTGCAGGAAGGGCTGTGGGACTCATGGAGGGGAGCCTTTGCTCCCCGCTAGCCAGAGAAGGCAGGGAAGGAGAAGTTACTGGAACTTGGAAGGGGAGAGTCTCGAGACAGGAGCTGGGACTCTTAGTCAAGAACGGCAGCCATGGCCAGGCGCGGTGGGTCACACCTGTAATCCCAGCACTTTCAGAGGCCAAGGCGGGTGGCTCACTTGAGGTCAGGAATTCAAGACCAACCTGGGCAACATGGCAAAACCCCGTCTCCACTAAAAATACAAAAATTAGCCGAGCGTGGTGGCAACATGCCTGTAATCCCAGCTACCCGGGAGGCTGGGGCATGAGAATCGCTTCAACTTGGGAGGCGGAGGTTGCAGTGAGGCAAGATTGCACCACCGCACTCCAGCCTGGGTGACAGAGTAAGACTCTGTCTCAAAAAAAAAAAAAGAACGGCAGCCAGACCATGGCACCATAGAAGGGAAGAGCCAGGGAGATAATACCCCAGACTCACTTTCCTCTGGGCTTCCCTGTGTCAACCAGGGCTGGCTTTGTGGGTGTTTGCCCATGCAGTGGCACAGGGCTCCATGCTTGCTTGGTTTAATGCCCTACTATTGATGTCTTGAATTTTTTTTTGTTTTGGAGACAGTTTCTCCCTCTGTCGCCCAGGCTGAAGTGCAATGGCGTGATCATGGCTCACTACAGCCTTGAACTCCTGGGCTCAAGTGAACCTCTCACCTTAGCCTCCTGAGTAGCTGGGACTACAGGCGCGTGCCACCATGCCCAGAAAATTTTTGTATTATTTTGTAGAGACGGGGGCCTCACTGTGTTGCCCAGGCTGGTCTCAAACTCCTGGCCTCAAGTTATCCTCCTACCTTAGTCTCCCAAAGTGCTGGGATTACAGGGGTGAGGCACTGCCTCTGGACAAAATTCTTAATAAATATTTGAACAAGGGACCTTGTGTTTTCCATTTTGCACTGAAAATTACAAGCCATTTTTGAGGCCAACCCACATGGGAGCCAGAGGACAGGAGGGCTGGTCCATGCAGGTCAGTCCTGCACAGGGCAGGGTGAAGAAGCTTGGACTATGGGTCTCAAGCTCCCAGGCTGAAGCAATCTGCCCACCTCGGCCTCCCAAAGTGCTGGGATTACAGGCGTAAGCCACCGCCCCAGTCTATTGCTAGGGTTTATAATTATCTTGCAGTGATTACTAATTCTTCTCCAGCAGTGCATTGCAGTGGCTGAAGGCACAGACTCAGGACTCCAGCAGGTCTGGTTCTGAGTCACAGCTCCCCCACCTGCTGCCTATGTCTCTCCCTCTGAGCCTCGGATGCCTTCTCCTTGCAATGGGAAGGACCTCAGTGTTTACCTCCTGGTGGATAGCGGAAGTGTGGGAAGCAGCACAGTGAAGGGCATGGGCGGTGGAGCTGGGCTGCCTGGGTCAAGCCCTGGCTGTGGGCCTTATCACCTGGGTAGCTCAAGGAGGTTACTTTTCTCTCTGTGCTTCAGTTTCTTTTTCTTTTTTTAAGAGGGAGTCTCACACTGTTGCCCAGACTGGAGTGCAGTGGCATGATCTCGGCTCACTGCAACCTCCGCCTCCTGGGTTCAAGTGATTCTCCTGCCTCAGCCTCCTGAGTAGCTGGGATTACAGGCACCTGCCACCAAGCCTGGCTAACTTTTGTAT